TTTGAAAGGGGGGGGGGACGGCTGAAATTCCGAAGCAACGCCGCGTCAAACGAATGACGTAGGTGCCATAATGCCCAAGTAACGCCGGAGGGGGCAGTGTTTAACGCCCCCCCGGCATGAAAAACGGCATAACGCCGGTGGGCGTGAAGAGTATACCTAGTGCCCTCATTCCCTTTATGTTTTTTAAAGCAAGCAAGGAAAGAGATTCAGGTTATATTCCCTTCATTGTTCTCTAGCCAAATAGACCATGAAGTACTTTGTTATTAATGAGACAAGGTAACTTCTTATGTTTGTGTTATTCCAAGGTCTGCATTAATTTTAGGAATCTTAGTAAAAAAACATAATGAAAGAGTTAAGCTTTTGTTTTTTTTTTGTAAAATATAAAAGATTCACTTATAAGCCCATAAAATGTGAGAAGGTTCATATCTCACACGTAAACTTTAAAACAAAAAAACAAGTCATGAAGCAGTGAGTGTTTCACATATATTTTCACTTCAATTTTTTAAGTTAAACAACTCCTTTAAAAGGCTGTTCTAAAAAATATACGCTTTGTTAATACTCCACACATGCCTTCTGATTTTGTAAAATTTTTGACACAATTTTACCTCTAACAGCCTGGAGTATTGGTGTAAAATTGATTAATTTTTTGGAGCAATGATGTAAATTACTTAATTTCAAAGTATTATCATAAAATTCCGAATTCCAGAGTATTCATGTGAATTTCCTCAAAATTAAATTGAGATGGATAGAGTATTTGTATTTATGTTGTAAGAGCAACTCCAATGCATAGTGCATGTTAAAGAAAATATACTCTTTATGCAACATCTTCATTCTGTTGCCCTGGAGCAGAATGTGTAAAATAGGGATGAGCGTGGTACGGTATAATGCGGTATTTATCTCGTACAAATACTGTACCAAATATTTCAGTTTAGTATAGGATTTTACGTTTTACCGATCCTGATATCGAAGCATCAATTCGGTATGGTTCAAGATGGTTCGGTATCAATTTCGGTACGAATCGGGATGAATATATATGTACCTAGTTTACACCATAAAATGTAACAAAACCTTTTATTTTTGAAAACCCGAAAGTACATTTAACTAATGAAAGATAAAAAAAATTAAAAGTGAAAATAAAGTGTAAGAAATGCTTATGAAAATTAGTTTACATTTCACAAACTAAAAAGAACAAGTGATGCCAAAGTATTATTTCAAATGTTTATTAATATTCTTATACTTATCAACAAAAAATGAAAAACTTTTATTAAAGTGCACCTTACACACAATGAAATTAAACTAAATTGTCTATATAAATTTTTTATTTAATGGAGAAATATAAAAGGATTATTATTTTTATGCTGTATTAGTATATATGTTCGGTTCAGGAATCTTGGTATGGAAAGTAACCTCGTACCGTTCCCAAATACAGGACCGACCGTTCGGTATGGTTCGATTATTGTACGGTATTTATCAGTTTGTTATTTTTCAGTTTGGTATTTTCAATTTTTTTTGGAAAATATCGGGATCGATTTGGTCCTTGTTCACCCCTAGTGTAAATTAAATGTTAAGGAGAGTTGAAAAATTGACTTTTTGTAGTTTTTTTAAGGAGAGTTGAAAAAGGTGTAATAAATAAAGTAAGTGGAGATAGTTGTGGTATTTTAAATGTTAAAAAAGATAATGAGAAGATCTATGTGGGACAAATAAAAAGGTTAATGAGAAGATCTATGGGGGATGGACGAAGTATATACTTTAGTGTAGATAGTGAATACTATCTCCGTACCTCAGTATTTATTATTTTTTTCAACCTATTATTTTTAATATTTGGCTCATAATTAAATAAAACACATATTGTATATAAATTAGATAAAATAATATTTTAAAAATATTTTATATAATAAAAGTAATAATACTATTTCTATATCAATATATAATATTATTTTTATTTAATTTGAGATCAAGATTTAAAAAATCTAACAAAAAAAGTCAAAAGTAGACACTCAAGTAGAGAGAGACTATAATTCAAAATTATCTTCTCACCTCTTTTATCCCAGAAAATTACTCACGGGTGACGTGAGTTTTGTTGAAATAACTCTCAGGTCCCTCTATTTTGAAGAAGACATCAAAGGTCCTTACATTTTGTTGTAATGACTAGAAGGAGACATTTATCCAATATTTTATCTATAAACGTTAATAAATATATTTTTTTCCTATTCTTTTCTAAATGTTTTAAGGTAATAAATCTTTGGTCGCTCCTTTTTCTATTTCTTTGTTTTTCTTTTATTTTGTTACTATTTTTTAAAGTGTTATTTTAGAATTTATTCTATAAAATCGTATAAAAATTCAAAATTGTTTGTATTATATTAAAACAAATGAAATAAAAAATTTTAAAAAAAGAAAAACAAGGTAATGGCAAAATAGGAAAAAATGATATTGGAAAAATAGGAAAAAATACATTTATTAACACTTACGGATGATGTATTGGATGAAATGTCCCCTCTCAGTCATTACAACAAAATATAAGGACCTCGGTTGTCTTTTTGAAAATAGAGGGACCTGAAAGTTATTTCGACAAAACTCGCGTCACCCGCGAGTAATTTTCTGCTTTTATCCCTTCGCCTTTTGTGTCTCCTCAACCTTTCAACCCCTCTCAGGTACATTGGTGCAATTTAATTGTCCATTTTTACATATTTTTAGTTGTAAATCTAGTACACTGATTTATTTCTTTTGATCTAGATTATACACATAATACATGTGGTTATAATTAAACTATGAATTAATAACAATTATTAAGAATAAAGGAGGTAAAATAATAAAATATTAAAAAATGTATTAAATAAAAAATATGGTTGGATGAAGTATGTAAAAGTGAACAACCGTGATAGGGGTAGATCAAGAGTGTACCTCAAGTTTTATCCTAAAGAAATACACCAATATTTTAGCAGTTTACATAAACAGAAAATATTAGTTCAATTAAAAAAATTTGCATTGACATTTTTTATCAATGTAAATCATGACGCTAACATCACATTAGCTTAAAATATCGGTCCATGCTATTGAAGTACAAAATGAGATAAAATTTTGATGTACAAATGACTTAAAATGAATAGATAAAACACTAGTGCGCTATTTTTAATAATTTAGCTTCACTAATATTATTTTGTACATAGAAAACCGTTCCAGAGAAGTAGATATAAGGTGTTTTGCTTTTATCTTTTGTAGAAATCACTTTATTCATAACCTAATCAAGTCCAAAATATATAAGCTATAATTACTTTCTCCAAATTCTTACGTAGTAGGGAGTATTTTTTACTTTTCATAGTTTTCAATGTGCAGAAAATATGCCCCCAGGGGGTGGAGGACTATAAAAAGAGGGGAAACTGAGGGATGAGATTCATGTGAGAATTCAACAATAGTCAGCTAAGGATCGGTGAAGAATGGAGACTCTAAGCTCGCCCTGGAAGACCCTATTGCTCATCGGAGCCATCTCCGTGCTTCTCTTGCAGGTTGGCGGTTTCTTCTATCTTCTTCTTCTTCTATCATCTTCGTTTCTGCTGATCTCTGGTTAAGATTCTGCTTCTGATGATTGATTGATTTGATTCCGTTTACCGAGTTTATCGATCTAAGTATGGTTGTTTCTGCTGGTTATTCGTTTTCTATTTGGTGGTAGCTACACACTCAATCTGTCCCAAAATTAGAGCTAACTTTGATCAGACACGATGAATCAACTGATTTAACTGAGTACTCCGTAATTATTATCGATGAAAATTACTTTAACAATGAAAACTGGCTTTTTCTCTTTTTTTTCTGATAGAAATGGAAGGAATTTGGATTTCTCTTCTCATTTTCGTTTCTTCTCCAACCAAACAAAAAAAGTTTTAATTCTTACTTTCTTTTCGTTTCCCTCTCAAATTCCTAGAACTAAACATATTGTAAAAGAAAATTTGAGGCGAGTTAAAGTTCTTAGGTCGCAGTTCCGTGTTGGCTTTCACAGTTCTGGCTTAATGGGAAAATGAAAATATTGAATGGAAAGTTTGAGAGGGTTGGCCTTGCAAATTAATTGTCTCAATTGGATTATGTTCTTTCTTTAGCTACTTATATGTTCCAGTCGCTTCACTACTTCATACTCCTTCATGTTTATTTATCCCATGGTAGGATTCCTCTCTGTGTTTAATTTGTGATTTGATCTGAAATTCGAGTTCTTTCACATTAAGCAGCTTTTATAAATGAATCTAGTTCCCAATGTTAAGTCCTGTTTCCCTAAGGCATGACCTTTATGATTAAGATATTTAATGTAAAACAGGTCATAGTATTATTGGAAATGTAGTATATACTGTGTTTGTTTTGGGAAGTGTTCACAATTTATAAGAATTTATGTCAAGAGTTCGAAGTAAAATTTATGGAAGTAGAAATATACCTCTTTAACCCTGTTCATGTGATATTGCATTAAAGCAGTTGTGTTTGAAACTTATTAAGTTGGTTTATACAGAAACTGCACTTATTATATGTGAAGATTACGTGTGTTTCTCAGGTTGTGGCTGTTAAGAGTGTAGCACAGACTGAAGTTGACCCCAAGATCCTTCAGGTATGCTTAAAGTCTGAATGGAAAAAAGCTTTCAAATGCTTTACAATATGTTTGGTTCAAGGAATTTGAAAGGGGAAAGAAAATAAAAAGAGATGGAAAACAATTTTTCTTGTTCGATTAGAGAGGAAAAGAAAAGAAAAGTGGAAGGAAAAGAAAATGAGAAGAAAAAATGTATGATGATGGGGCAACCCAAACTCCTCCCATTTTGGCGAGGGAAATGATAGAAATCATTTTCTTTTCTTTTTCTTCCTAATTCCTTGAACCAAACATAGTGTTAGAGTTTGGACTGTAAGCATTAGAGGACTGAGAGATTTATATGGAAATTATTTTGCAGGACAAAATTGTTAAAACAGTTAATGGAAACCCAAAAGCAGGATGGAGAGCTGATATGAGTCCTTGGCTCTCAAACTTCACCGTTAGTTTCTATACCTTTGAGTACAGTTCTCTTATTTTTTCAACCAAATTTATAATGCATGTTTATATGTTCATCGGGTTTACAGGTTAACCAATTTAAGCATCTCCTTGGTGTAAAGAAGGCACCAAAGGCTTTATTGAAGGGCATTCCTGTGATTAGTCACCCAAAAAATTTAGAATTACCCAAAAGTTTTGATGCTCGGACAGCTTGGCCTCAGTGTATCACTATTGGACAAATTCTTGGTATGTTTCTTTCTTGTACCTAATGATTTGTTTTTCTGTCAGAAAGGCACTAATTCTTATTTTCCTTACTATGTCATGCACATGAAACCTTCAACATTAAAGATCAGGTAAAAGTTTTTTTTCTCAATTATTATCTTCATTCTTTCTTGGCTATTAAGAATCCATTTATAGTTACAAATGGACCTTTTTTTATATTGTTTACTTTTCAGGGACACTGTGGTTCTTGTTGGGCATTTGGGGCAGTTGAGTCTTTAAGTGACCGTTTCTGCATTAAATTTGGGACGGTAAATTTATTTCAGTCCTCAGAAGCTGTATTGGTTTGCGTTTATGATCCATACAGAAACGAGGAAATGCTAGAGAAAGAAATTGGAAAGAAAAGTGAGAGGCAATAAACGACAGGATATGAGCTCAAAAATATTATTATAGATTTTTACTGTTAATCATTTTATTTATTTATGTCTTATAAAGAAACCTAAGGTCGTTCTCTTCTCCGGCAAAAAAGAGATCTGATTGAATATCTTACGATCTTGTTTGGTCCCATCTGGTCCAAATGTTTTTTGTTTGGTTCGGCCTGGTATGATTTTGGCCCTCATGTGATCTCATTGTTTCTAGTCTGGTTCAATTAAAATAAGAATAAGTAATAAACAAAAAGAATAAGGTGGACATAATAACACCTAAGGAATCTAAATATGCCAAAGCCAAATCAGACATACCAATACTCAACATCACAAGAAGTAGGGTATGGTGACATAGACACATACCTTGCATCTATCCCAAGGATTAGAGAGTTTGTCACAAGAGTACCCCCGACAGCAAAGGAGAGCAATATAAAAAAATTACGAAACTACTTGTCTTTCATTCCCTTTCCATTTTCAATGTTAAAACCAAACATAAGAAAACTACTACTCTCAACATTTTTCTCTTCCCTAGTACTTCCCGGGATCCAAATAAGATCTATGGATACTGACCTTGAAAATCATAATGCATATGGCACAGAATGTGACTCTATCTGTCAATGACCTCTTAGCTTGTTGTGGCCTTTTGTGCGGTGATGGATGTGATGGTGGTTATACCATATCAGCATGGCAGTATCTGGTGAGAAGTGGTGTCGTTACTTCCGAGGTAAATGTTTTGGGCTTTTCTGCCGTTTAGAAACTCTTATTCTTTCCGCTATCTATATCACTGGGTAATTTTAAAACTAAAATGAAAATTTACTTTTGACAGTGTGACCCTTACTTTGATCAAACTGGGTGTTCTCACCCTGGTTGTGAACCAGGATATCCCACTCCCAAATGCCAGAAGAAATGTGTGAAGGAGAATCTACTTTGGTCGGAGTCCAAGCATTTCAGTGTTAATGCATACCAAGTCAGTTCTGATCCATACAGTATTATGGCTGAAATTTATACTAATGGGCCTGCTGAGGTCTCCTTTACTGTCTACGAGGTAATTGAAAAAAAAGGAATTTTAAATTTTATTCTTATATTATAAGTATGCTGATATTCCCGGCACTGTGAAGTACTCCTTTCCCAAAATAGACGTCACATTTACTATTGTATTTTTTGGTCAAATTGCATCTCATTTCCCAATTTCTTGAAGAAAGTACTAGTGTTAAACATACCTATTGTTTTACATAATCTTTTTTGTAGTTTTTTAGTGTGTGTGTACATGTATGTATGTGTGTGTGTGTGTGTGTATAATTTACTACTATCAATAAAACATTACTCGTACAAAACTTAAGTTCAAAAAATTTCAACAACTACTATTTTATGTTTAGGAAGGAGCGACATGCATGTCAACTTGTAAATTTATTGATATTTACCTTTACACTATGTTTGGTTCAAGGAATTTGAGAGGGAAAGCAAACGAAAATGAGAAGGAAAACATTTTTCTTGTTTGGTTAGAGGGGAAAAGCAAAGGAAAGTGGAAGGAAAAGAAAATCAGAAGGCAAAATGCACTAAGAGGAAAAAAACCAAATTCCTCCCATTTTGGAGAGGAAAATGAGGGAGAACTATTTTCTTTTCTGTTCTTCCAAATTCCTTGAACCAAACGTAGTGTAAATAGAAAACATTCCAAGCACCAGAAGAGATGTAAAACTAGTCAAATTCAATCAGTCCTCTTCTTTCTTAGTTTGCATTTATTTATTTTCTTTCACCTGTTCTTACCCATTCTTTTTTTATCTCATTCTTCATTCCACTGTTTAACGTTGGGTACACGCAGGATTTTGCACATTACAAATCAGGAGTCTACAAACATGTCACAGGCGAGGAAATGGGAGGGCATGCTGTTAAACTCATAGGATGGGGAACTTCCGAGGATGGAGAAGACTATTGGGTATATACAGAGATTTATTTGAAATAATCATAATGCCACTTTCACTTGCTAATGAATTCTGGCCTCATTGAATTTTCTCTTCTGGACACTCATTACAGCTCCTTGCCAATCAGTGGAACAGAAGTTGGGGTGATGTACGTTCGTTCTCTCACTTTCTCTTGCAAATAATTTACTTCAGAATTGGGGAGAGCCTATATTTTACATCCGGGTGTACCTAAAGCTAGGTACACCCAACAAATGTTCATTTTGAATCAACGTAGTGCTCATTCTGAAGCAACGTAGTGCTCATTTTGAAACAACGTAGTGTTCATTTTCACACATTTATTCATTGCAATTATAATATTCATTTACGAACAATCATTCTTAAACAAGTTAGTGTTCATTCCAAGCCTGCTCAGCATGGTGTTCATTCTGAAATAACGTAGTGTTCCTCCTGAAACAATGCAGTGCTCATTCTGGAATAACGTAATGTTCATTTTGAAATAACGTAGTTTCATTCCAAAACAAGGTTGTGTTCATTTCAAGCGTGTTCACCATAGTGTTCATACTTCATACTCAAACAACATACTGTTCATTCTAAAACAATGTTATGTTCATTTCAAACCTGCTCACCATAGTGTTGATTCTGAAACATTTTTTAATTACAAGTTTGCCATGATGTACGGTACATCCAACTGCACCACATAATTTGCCCGAATTAGGCAACTTTTATTTATGTCTTCATGTAGTACATATTTTTATTTCCTAAATGGTGATAGATAGCTGAATATATAACTGGTAGGTTCAGTCCCACTGTTTCTTGGACCAAGCCCTATGGTGTTCTTCAGATTCGACCATTACAACAATATATCTGTAACAAATATACACTTTGCTAGAAACAGCCTATATTTCAATGGGAGAGTGTATTGTGCATAATATATTACATACATTTGGACTGGCCTCAATATGAACACCAATACTTAAAATCTTGAATATGTTCCAATTGTTTCCAATGGCAGGATGGGTATTTCAAGATCCTTCGAGGAACGAATGAGTGTGGCATTGAAGAAGATGTAACCGCAGGATTGCCTTCTTCAAAGAACTTGGGCATAGAATCCATTCCTGGGGAAGCGGCTTCTCTTGTTGCCTCAGTTTGAGTAAGGGTCATCCTACCCCATACTTGCTGCTGCCTTGTAATTTAATCCTTGCCCCATTAATCTTAAAGTTCATTTGTGAAATGGTTTCAGTCTCTCAGACATGATGCCTATATTTGTGTGTATAGTTTAAAAACAAATGTTGTAATGTAACATTTCCCCTTTCAAGTTTGTTACTCCTTTTGTTTCTTATAGATGTTCCACGGGTACTATTCATAAGTTCAAGTTTAACTCACTCTGTTCGCTTATTTTTACTCCTCATTTCATAAAATAATACTCCCTCTGTCTTGAAATGAATACCACTGTCACTATTATTGCATCTCGATAATTTTTGTTTGTTTGTATGTTTTCATTGATATTTTGGTAAAAAAAGATATTCTTGTCATCTTTTGTTTTATAGATCTTTTATGTGTTTTTAAATGGTGTAATTTATATTTTTAATTTTTATACTAATTTGTAGTTAAAATGGTTTTAAAAATCATGAGATTTCACACGTTGCTTAGAGTGCGACATCTAATATGGGACAGAGTATATTCTTGTCATTTTCTTGTTTTGTACTCCCTCCGTCCCAAATTATAATGCATGTTTACTATTCACATGGTCAAATTTTATTCACTTTCTTTCTCTATTTTCGTTAGCAATTTGATAAAATAAAATATTATTGTCACTACTAATTTTGTAGATCTTTTGTAGTTTTTTAATATGTAATTTTTATTTTTAATTCTATACCATTTTTCATATAAAATGGTTTGAAAATAATTTCAGTCAAACATCGTAAACCGAAACAGGCGTTATAAAATGGGACGGAGGTAGTAGAACTTTCATGTACGTAGTTTTTTATCACACCTTTGTTCTTATGACATTAAAAATTAATATCATGGGATGACCCGAGGTTCATACGATACTCTGTTTGAAAATTTAATAGTTCCTACCCTCATCCAGGTCCGGCCCAAACCAACTCCTGCATTTTTTTAATTGCACCCCATAAGATTTAGTTGATTTTGGAGTCAAAATTTGACTTTAAAGTCGACTAAATCTTGTGGGGTGCAATTGATGGAGGTTGGGAGTGAGTTCGAGCCAGACTGGGGTGAGCCTTCACCGGGGATAGAAACCATCATTTTTTTTAAAACCGAGCACCGTAGGTGTCCTATTCGGGGCTCATGTCAGCGGAACTGTCTTCTTTTTACTATATGCATTCAATTTTTAAAATTTATACCTATAATTGAACGAATTGAATTTAAAATAATGTTGATTAAGTCTCATAACATGTAATGTGGAGATCTATGAGGTTGGTTCACTCAGGTTAGTGTGCATCCAATCCCTACTTAGTTGCAGTTTATAAATGCTATCTAAAAATGTATTCCACAACATAGTTTTTTGACTCAAAATTGGAGCACTATTGTCCTTGTACTATTCCTTTTTGAAGCATGATCCCAAAGTTTGTACCCTATTTGTACACCAAAAGTATGCACCAACATTTTGATGGTTCACATTGATACAAAGTATTGGTGCGTTAACAAAAATTTACACTGACACAAAATGTTGGTGCGCTAACAAAAATTAGCATTACACCAATAAAAAATATTGGTGCATCCTTGTGGAGTACAAAATGAGATACAAATTCTTGGGGTACAAATGGCATTACTCTTCCTTTTTGTTCAATTAGTGAAAGGCCTTACTGCATTACAAACAAGATAGCATTTCAACCGTATATGGTAATTCAACCCAAATATTTTACCCAAATCTTAAGCCATTCGTTCTTTGCAGAACCTTACAATAGTTGAACTTCATTTCCATTATATCACACACACCAGCCCTCACCCTGCACGTAAATGTCTTGACCCAACCATGCTCGACGCCTCACCCATCACCATTGTTGGTGTGGCGTTCTAGACGACAACGAAGCTTACTCTTAGCCATATACCGATAATAAATGAATTGTTGACTTCTTCATTCTTTTGAAAGAATAAAATGGAGTAATAAGAAAAGTAAGAAATGAAGAGAACTATACTCCGGGGTATATGACTAAGAGAAAGGAATGAGCCTTTTATAATTTCCAAAATTTGAAATGACATGCAGTCGTTTATCCACATGGTAGAAATTTAGTGGATATACATGCATGCCCTCTCATTTGCTTGGGCATGGGAGAAACACCCTAATTAAATATCTTGAGTAAATACTAAAATAAAGAAATATGTGAAATGAATGTTGTGTTACTTGTGCAAATGTACAACTAAAATAAAAAAAGATGTTCTATGGTGAACCTAAGGAGTAAGGTCCACATGGACCTTACAAAATTTTTCTTTTATTTTTAAAATAAATACTTATTTCAATATTTAAGAAATGTTTACTTAGCATATATGAAGGTTCACAATAAACACAATGAACCTTATTTCCTTAGGTCCATGTAAGAGTTTATCAAATAAAAAAATGCGAATTGAAGAAGAACAATAGGAATCCCATACAACAAATGCAACCATAACACCCGACGATTTCATCATATTTTTTCGCCAGTCGCCACCGTCGGAAATGAAATATCTCCACTCCATATGTTCTCATCCTTAACTCATAAGGCTAATATGTGTGACTCTCGACATCGCACTTAGCACCACTCATCGCCATGTTAGTTTTTCTCTTTTTCATCACGTCTTTTTTTTAAATATATTCAAATATTTCATTTGAATGTTTTTATATTGGGGGAAATAGTTCTACAAATAATATCATATTTTATTTTTTTAAAAACTATCAATATAACTTTTAAATATGTAAATTCTATTTTTTTATCACTATATATATAAATTCAATTAGTTACTCCCTCCGCCCCAAATTATAATACATGTTTACTATTCACAGGGTCAAACTTCATTCACTTTCTTTCTCTATTTTCGTTAGCAATTTGATAAAATAAAATATTATTGTCACTACTAGTTTTGTAGATCTTTTGATGTAGTTTTTTAATATGTAATTTTCATTTTTTAATTCTATACCATTTGTCATATAAAATGGTTTGAAATAATTTCAGTCAAACACTGTAAACCGAAACAGACATTATAAATTGGGACGGAAGTTGTATAATTTTAATCAAATATCATAAATTCTTCATTTATGGACAAAGAGAGCGTTAATTTTATTATGTAATATTACACACACCTTCACACACACACAAATATATATATACACATACATACATACAGAAACTTGTAATCTCACACAAATTGAACTCGTGTAAGATTATAACAGTAATTTAATTGAGGCACCTATGGCATAGTATAATTGACGGTTTATATCCTCTAACCACTGATTCGACCAGTAAACTAGACCGATTCAGTTGCTCGTCGGTTCTGAGAACTATGTTCTCACTACTCTCAAATATCATGATCCACTAAAAAAAATTAGTTCCTTGGTGCTACACATATAAGCTCCGTTTGGCATCAGCGTTAGATATTAGCGTTTTGAAAACACTATGTGATGATAGCTTTTAGCATTTCAAAATTAATCTACACCGTTAAAATTTTATCCAAAATGCTAACGTGAATAGAAAACTTTGTTCCAAACAAGGCCATAAGCGTCAAATACCGTCAAATATGTCATTAGCGTCACCTTAATTAATCTAATAAACCCTAGCAGTAGGAGGGCATTTCTTTCACACATCTTCCTCTTCCTCCGTTGCTAGCAGGCATTCCTCTGCACACATTTCTTTTCCTCCGTCGGGGAAGAGCGAAGGGTCAGCAACCCACACAGATACCCGCGGCAGCTCACGCAGATACCGGCGACAACCGACGAAGCTGCCGGTGACAAGGTAATTTCCAATTCGCCGACTGGACATGTTGAATTCCGAAGTTTTTTGGTGTGATTGGCTGTGCGCCTGTGCAATAAGATTTAAGAATTCAATTGGTTGGTATGCTTTGTTGGATTTTCAATATTGAATAAGATTGATATTCTTATACTTCTTTTTTACTTATTTTGTATTTACTGCACTTTTTTATTCCGTGTTAGTTTATTTGACGCTCTTTGATGGTTGAATGCGAAGTGGAAGGAACTAAATTTTTTAGGAGGGTTATGATATTTGGGAGAAGTGAGGGTGCGTTTTGCTTTTTTTTTTTCCCCCATATTTGGAGGAATTGGAGGCTCATCTCAAAGAGGGGGACAAAAAGTTTGAGTTTAGTAAGTACTTCAAACTAATAAATTCTAAATTTTCTCTATGGGGACATGTTACTTTGTTGCGCAGGACAGATGTCTCTGCTGGAAGTTATCACCAAGGCATTGGCCGAGAAAAACCATACTGAAGGTGACCTCAAATACCCAATCGTCCTGAACCCTGACCCAGCCCTCTTAGAACTGAAACCCCAAGACCAAGACACAAAGAATGACTTGCCAGTTAAAGGAGCTAACGGGTGGAATTTCTCCAAAATCGACACTGAAATCATTGAGCTAGGGCAAAGCTTCTTCAAAAAACTGAAGAGGAAGCTTAAAAACCCAACCGCGTTCAATCAGGATGAATTTTTGAAGATTCTGGGTTCATATCTCGTGAATATTGCAGGGAAATTAGGCATTGCAAATAATATTATCGAGTCTGATAAAGGTTATGTTGGTAAATTAGTTGGAAAATCCGGGCTTTTCATGGGCAGGGATGTGAAGGGGCTAGTTTTGGAGGCTTGTATTCTGCTAGAGTGTTGGGAGGTTTTAGAGAGTTTGATTGTTAACAGGCTTGTGGAGCACCCTCACTTTTCAAGCTTAATTAGTAATTTGATTAAAAAGAATAGGTCAGACTTGATTGTTTTGTGCATGAAGCATCTTTCTGATCTCCAGGCTTCTGATGTTATGAGCATTTTGAAGTACTTTCTTTCACTCCCTATAAATGGGCACACTAATATTCTCAATGTCAGGAAAGAATGGGAAAGCCAGGCATTGCTGGCCATACAACAGTTGAAAGAGTGTGATGGCCAAGCACTCTTGGCAATTGAGAAGGTGAAGGATAAAATCCTCAGGAAGCGATTGACACTGATAAGGGATGCTTCGCTATTATTAATGATAGCATATGATGGGTTTTCTGTCACAGAGTTGTGTTTGCATTATCTGATATCGTCACGGAACTATGATGAAGTGATATTGGCTGCTTGTTTCAGTAGTTTAAATGGCTCAGAGATTATGTGTTTGGTTAGGTACTTGGGAAAGTGGCTGAAGAAGTATGAAAAATTTCCTTATGTGAGTCCTTGTCCGGAGGCTTCCTCTGTTTTAGGTTTGACAGTTTGCGAGTGGATTCCCAGGGTTGAAGATATTGTCATATGCCTCGGCTTGGTACTTGATGAACACTTTTCTACTCTGGTCCTCCATCCAGAGTTCCATGAGGAATTGAAGTCTATAAACGAAACCGTGAGCTCGTTAGCTGCAGAGGCCAGATTTTGTGCTATGTTGTCAAATTTAACTCATGCTTTGAGAGGAAATGCAAAGGTATGTGATTTTATATGATGTTAATGTTATTCAATTAATTTGCATTTCTGATATTTTTTCATATGAAATATGTTTACTGACAATAATTGGGCCCTAAATAGATTTGAGAATGCAAAGGGACACTCCTAATTACGGGATGGAATAAGGTGAATGTTTTACAATTACATTTGTTGTGCCACGTGCCTACCCCTTCAATTTTATGGGCTCATTAATTGTTAGTGTTAAAGAAATTATCTATAGACACATTGCTCTTTTCTACTTATTACTCTGAATTGAAATGTAGATGTAGATGTAGATCCCACCAAAACTCAGTGTATATTTCTGATTCCATTTATTGACTCACTACTAGGATGCTAATCTGGACACCGGGACTGAAGCAACTGAATTTGAGGATAAGGTGAGAAGAAGAAAGTACTATCCTCTTCATGCTTATGTCATTCTTGTAATCTGCATTTCGGGCGTCCCTAAACCAGTACCCTCTGTTTTCAATATGCAATGCCATTCCATATGGAAAAGGAATAAGGACGAGTGAAGAAAATTGTGAAAATGACACAAATATTTCATTCTCAGAAAAGAATCTAGTGGTCAGAATGCTTGTCTTTAATTAAAACACAAATCAAAGTTTTAGGAGTATCTAACATTATATTGGATGTCTATGCATAGGGGAAGTTATCGGGGTTCTGTTGACACTCAGTAACCCAGCCCCATTGTCATAAGATGACACTCGGTACATTTGATGGCCTATGGTGCTCCATTNCCCCCCCCCCGAAAAAACCCCATTGATTTTGGATTGTCGCCCATGGGGTAGGGTGTGGGAACCACTTTGGGGTTGAACGGAGCACCATAGGGCCTTCAAGTACACCGGTGTCATATTATGAAAAAGAACTGGGCTCGAGGGAATTTTAGTCTTTGCACCTCATGTTTACCCTCAACATTTGACTTTGCACTTTGTGATTTACCCTAAAATGGGATTTTGCACCCTACTATTGGGTCGTTGGGTGCTTAGGGATGCATGTTCAGATAGAACAAACCAAAACAAAGCATGAGGTGCAAAGACATACATGCTTCTTTCATTTTGCATGTAAAACAATTTTGAATCTATTGAGATCTGATGTTGTCGTGTTGCCTTGGCAGGACATTTCATCTCCAAATGATGTCGTTGTTGTGACACGAACGCGGCTGTCCAAAACTCTGAAATCTTTATGATCTCTATATGTATTCTATCTAGTCTGATTGATTTTTGGATGGAACAAGTTTGTCCAACTCAATTCTTATGATAGTGCTTTGTTGGAGCTACTTCTCTCTTACACCTTTTTTTAATTTATAAAACACATTTGACAGTTATTTCTTCAACCTAGAAATGTAATAGAATAGGAATATCTTCATCTTGTTGTGTGTGTGAAACCATGTGCCTGTTTGGTGGCCTCTCAAGGTATCATTTTGTTAATGTGTTTATTGCTTTATCTATATACTTTCCAAATGAGATTACTTGTTAAAGATTGCATATTGTTTACCATGTTTGATTAAAATTACTCTGTATTATAAATTTTTTTAGAAAATTGGTATGAAATTTAGAAATAAGATCTACTCGTAGATATTTAAGAATTATATCAAAGGTTCTGTGAATCATGAGTGATATGATTATATTACTATTTTATTAAATGATTCATGAAAATGTGTAAGAGAAAATGTTTAAATTTTAACCTTTATAAATAATGAATGTATAATGTAAATTGGGAGATATTGTCCAATTTGACTTTTGTAATCACTCTACGAATTTTGTTCATAAATATAATAAATATTAATTCGTATATTGTATATTAATAAAATAAAATTTTAAAAATAACATGAGATTACAATAACATAACACTCAATTAAACTATTTTTGTACTAATGTTAATGCAGTTTTTATTAGTTGATTATCATTATTCATTCAGTTTGATTGTAAAAAAACAATTTGGGCCTTATACCGAGGCAAAGGTGGTAATTTCTTTTCTCTTACGTCATTCAAAAATAGTTTTTCACATGCATATTATATTTGGATAGCCAATGTATGGCAATGTATATTACTCGAAAAAATTGGTTACATTGCAATTAACAATTGTACCAAGACTCCGAGAGCGGAGAGACTAATTTGTTGTTTTATTGTAATAGAAAATTTTATAATTGATCGTTTATAACATTGAGATTTTTTATATTTAGTTTTTTATTATTAAATATCGTAATTTTTTTAATGATATCTTTCTATAAATAATTTTTTTACCTTCTCTTATATTGGTGTTAAATTGGAGGCTAATAGTGTAATTTATATCGAGCCTATGTTCAGTGAGGCAGTAATGTATTCTGATGTCAAATTGACGGACTACACAACAATAATGACTAAGGTTATGTACTAGGATTCCAACCATAGACGATATATGTAGATTATGGTTGTAGTAGACATCAGTTTTAGTTGACAAACGAATCAGTTGCGACCTTTGACATTGGATGTTATGACAATAATGATATATGATCATTGTAAATTTATACTTTTAGTCCTTAATTTAAAGCCAACATGATAGAAGATAAACAAACCATATGTGAAAGGTACTCATTAAAAACCACGGGTAAAATATTTGACAATAGAAGACCAATTATAAAATGAACTCCATTATAATCTTTAAGTGAGAAGTGTTTGGAAAAGCAAACAATAAAATTAAGATGATATCTTTACAATTCAGCCTTGATTTATCTTTATCAATATCTCCATGTTAAAAAGATCTTTGTTTTTCAATTTTTCGTTCATCGTGATCAAACGTCTTGGTCTATAGTTTTTTTATCAAGACGGAAAGGAGACCCCAATCTAACTCGTCAACGTATGAGTATTCGTATTCACTCTACGGACTTTGGTGACTCCAATCATGTCTTCGGAAATGATATCCTCCGCCCCGGGCGAGGGTTCCTCATGCTCGATCCAATCCGCCTGTTGAGAGGCTCCAGTGCTGACAAGGCAGTCAGCCGCAAAGTTTTGTTCACAAAAGATGTTCTTGACCTCGATCCTTATATACTTCTTTTGAATAAATGTATGTGTACTTTGAAAATGAGTCTCTTAATTTTTTTTATGTGTACTTTTTTGATGGGTTTCTCATTGTTACTACTACTTTCTTTTGATGGTCTAGTTCTCTATTTTGACTTGGGGTTCTCTTACAATACTAGAACTATTATTGTAGAAACAAGATTTGCATAAATGCACACTTCCCATTGTTGGCCCCAATTAAATGTGTATGTATTCATACATGTAAAATGCGGTTGATATTACTTCATATTTGACTTCTCTACCTAAATCTCAATCACAATTTTTATTTTATCAAATTTTGGGTCTCATAACGGAGGACAATTCATTGCAGCAAAAACAAAAAGAAATATGAATATGAACAATGGTATCATTCATTGCGGCACGATGTTAGTTTCTGGGCAGAGGCACACAGGTGTTTTTTTTGATGCTGCAACATCAGATTTGGAGCATTCCATCTCTTTCGATTGTGTCCTTTTTTATCCAGGGGGTGTATATGTGGCAGCGGCAAATGGAAGAAAACTTGGGCCTCTAGATCCTCTTTTGGCGGAAGCTCTTGCTTGCAAAGAAACGTTGGCTTAGTTGAGGGCTCGAGGTATTCGTGACGTTGAGATTTTTTCTAATTGTGAGGTTTTGATGGGGGCTATCAAGAAAGGAAAGGCCTTTGAGTGCTACTCTTATCTAGGCTCCATCCTTGACGAATGTGTTGATTTATTATCATTGTTTACATCTATTAATTTTCATTTTATTCGTAGGAATCGTAATTGTATTGCCCATACCCTTGCAAGATGTGCTACATCCCATATGATCTCATGGAGCCGTACACCACCAAGTTGTATTGCACATTTGATTTCTTATGAATGAAGGTTTTTCTTGCCGTCAAAAATAGAATTTCATAATATTCGATTTGATTCCTTTGTTTTACAACCTACCCCCATATTGCATTACCATGGTGATCTAATTTATTGCATTGTTTAAAAAATATTGTCTAGTAAGCTGAGTACAAACTTGATCTATTACATAGATAATTGCATATGACTATACTTGAGGTATCGGTACCCTAATTGAGTAGTTAGAATTTGTTTAGATGAGAGAGATGTTCTGTGAGCCATATGTTCAATTAAAAAAACATTCAAACACGGAAAATAATGAACTCGAAAAAAAGGACCCAAAAACCTACATGAAATCTAAAGATAAATACTTCGTATCACCCAGTATTAAATTAAAAGAACAGAACCTATTAATATTGGATTGACAAGAAGATACTCCGTATAAAGGGTAATTTCGACACAAGAATCACATGAGCTAATAATTTATTATTTCTTATTGCAACTCCATTCACACTTTTGGCAATTGACTTCGTATATTTGTTGGGAAAACAGATGGTACAAGGGTGTCTTTAAATTCCAAGGAGCAATGCTAGAGAGAATAAAGACCAAAACAACCACACACACCTCATGAAATGCGGAAAACAAAAGAGTTGGAAATAATGGCATCAAATAGGGTCTGGTTTCACCTGGGAGTTCCTCGGGCATTCATATCTGAGGGGAGTCTGAAGTCCCGGCATTTGGGCCATTCGTTCCTTCGATCCTATCCTTGCTGATTTCCAAGAAGTGACTCACCGTTTCATGGAACAGTTTCAGGCCAGACAATGGGAGAATGATGGAAGCGCGGTCGGGACCTGTCACCTGCATTTGCGTTATCGTGAGCTATGTGTTAGATGATAGAGTACGGATCCTCTTTAGTAACTACAACGTACAAGGTGTAGTTACAACATAGATAGTCCAGATGACTTAGCAGTGGGGCATTTTAAATTTTGAAGTGATCTGAGTCCCCTGTATATTAAACTAGTAACTACACTAGAGTATAGCCATTATTTGTATCCAAAAAGGACCCATTCTTGAAATAAACATGTATGGTCTTGGTAATGGAGTAAAATGCAGTTTGTCCCCTAAGTAACGAGGGATGGCAAAACAATGGCAAAACAAGTCCCATTGGAATTTCTTTTTTTCATAATTCAGACCCATTACTTTCAAAATACCCTGAATATTGTCCCGGAACCATTTTGCAAGAATTACCCGAAAGCACAGTTAAATTTGGTGATACAGTGAATTGGTTTTATTTCCAAAAGTATATTTTTATGATTAAAAAATCGGTTTTTTTGTTTTGAGATCGAAAGTGCATCTTCATTCCACCAAAACAGAACAGCTTACAAGGGATCAGGCAATTCGGAACTTTGTAGATGCACTTTTTCCATTTTTAAATATAATAAAATTGTGATGTTCCAAATCGGCATTTTAAGCCATTTTGCTGGGAGAATTTGTCAATTTCTGTCAACTTCAGGATTAGATTGTAATATCTTTGGAAGTACAGTCTAAATTGTCAAAAAAAAAACAGGACTTAATTTTCTAACCACTATAGTTACAAGATAGAAAACACATTTTACCTTGTAAATGAAGCAAAATAAAAATGCCAGTTCACACACTAATCTCCGACATGGTGTAAAATTTTCTTCTGGTAAAGAAATCGAACCTCAGATATTCTTAAGAAGTGGCCCCTATTGTTGTTGCCAAGATCAAAGAAGAACCTTTTCTGATCGACCCTGATTACTTTGGAAACCCCTGAGCTGCTAGCATCCTCAGGTGCTGGCAAATCAATTGGATTGTTTCCTTTCGAGTCAGAAGGTGTAGGTTGCGTGCTGCTTTGACGGGAATCACGGGATATAAAACAAGCACCCAGATCATCTGCAAGTCCTAGCTGATCTTGAATTTCAGAATTTTTCTGTTTAATCACAAAAGGTCAGTTAATGATGAACAAAAGAGAATGAGGAGTGTTACATAAATGGACTTTTGTAATATAAAGACCTCATTGGACAGAGTGGTAAGCCTTGAGGCTTCGTTTACTTCAGCCAGGATATTCCTAAAAGCAGACCAACCCTCATCCCGGGCAATACCAGCTGGAACTATAATGGTACTGCGGTTTCTGTTGGCTGAAGCTTCAGAAATCTACACACAAACAAGACAAAAGCTTCATTCAAAACAAAAAAAGCGTTGGCAAAAAAATTGGGCAATTTCAACAATACACAACGATAGAAAAGGTATAGCCTTTTGGCTCACTTTGGGTGCTAAATATTGGATATGAAAGGTAAAAGGTAAAAACCAAATGACTCTTCAGTTTTTCACACTGAACTCCTAGACTTTTGAAATGGTTGTCAACAGTCAATTAACCACGGAATATAAGAGAATATAACATACAATTAAAGAAAAAGAATGTATTGTGACAATTAAGCTTATTCATGGCTCAAATTTATGCTTCCTTTTTCTGCAACTATGGTTCTCATAAACAACGATGATTCTGGTAAACAACTCTGTTTTTTGGCAGTAAAATAAAAATCTTTAGAGATTCAGACTTCTAAGATTCTGGTTCTTATAAGCAACTACAAGGTAATAGCAAAGTAAAAACATCAATACAATGGAAATACAGTAAACCT